GGGCGTTAAGGCGTCTGGGAAGGATCTCAGAACTGGATTATAGATGGCAGAGAGTTGGTGTCATAAGCCGTGTGTACATTGGCATCCTCGAGGATGCCAATGTACACACGGACAGACAGGACAGATGGTTTGAAAGAGGAGTGAAAGAAGCCATTTCTGTCCACTGTGAGCGACCATCTTTGAACAGTGGCGGTGGTTTACGACACCAACTGTCTGCCATCTATAATCCAGTGTTGAGATCCTTCCCAGACGCCTTAACACCCACTCACATGCTTTTCTTTCCAAACTCCTTAGACCACTATTATTATTATTATTCAGGCAAATGAATCACTTTTTTGAGGACACACATATAACTGAGAATTGGATAAGAAGGGCCTCTGCCTTTGACCACCACTCAGTACATGTTAAACCCACCCACTGCACTGCCCCCTGCAGGTGGTGGGCCTACAGGACGATGGGCCCGAGCCACCCAAAGAGCTATCCAGTCTAATTGATTACATTATGATTGTCATTCTGCATCTTACTGAATAAAAGCTGAGCTCTGCACAGAGAGGATGAGGGAATATGTTGAGAACAAGTTTTGGTATTTTTAACTATTTACTTACTTGTTGGCTCTGAGCTGCTGTCTGACAGCTGCTGAGTCAGATCCGTCATCTTCATCTCCTTTAAAACCTCCATGGTTTTCTTTACTGACTGTTGGCCATAAGCCTGTAACATTAAAAACACTGTGTCCTGCGGGTCTGCCACCTTCAGCAACCTCCATGGGACGGCTGAGTTATATTTCCTCTTGAGGCCTTTCTTTAAGTCCATGAGCTCGCTGTCACTCAGATTCCCCAGTGTCTCTGAAAGCAGCTGAATGAGAGACTCCATCGTTTCTACCTGGCAAAAACAGAGGTCACATGACAGACATGTGCAATTCAAATGGTTGTTCCACCTCTGATTAACAGAAAATTGTTCAGTTTGTTAAAGGAAGATTCATTTTCAACATGATACTTTTCAAAGCCCGAAAATACAACTTTTCACCTCTGACCCATTTTCAGGCATGAAAGTTGTCTTTTATACTACCATGACTGAATTTTTGCAATCCTTCTTATCCACTGCAAACCTATTGCAACTATTATATCATGATGAGATGCTGTGGGTGAGGACACGTTCAAGTGCAGCAGTAGAGACACCACAATGTTTGGAGCAGGGGCGATTTTAGCCCATTTTCGGGGGTGCTGAATGAATCAAAGCACCCCCAAAGATTTCTTACTTTTTTTGACAATATTTGCTGTTTGTGTGACACACTGCTAAAAATATAAAAAGCATACAGTACTTGGTTGAGACATAACATTTTAACAACAAAAGTATAGATAACCCCTCCCCCCTCCCAAAATGGTTTGTTCCAGCTCCCCCCTGCTCTGGCTCTGGCGCTCTTGCTGCCAGAGCGATGGTGGCTGAGACGCAGGGGAGTGGAGGTGTAAGTGCCTGGCTTAAAACAGGACATATTAGCTGCATTTAACCTTCAGTTGCTCTTTATATAGTTAGGTAGGAGTCAGGCCATGTTTCTTTTTAGCTGAAAAACATTACACCAGGCAAGGGCGTAGATTTGGTTTTGGCATTGGTGGGGACGGATGATTCAACCACCGAACCCTGCCCTGTTTCTTTTTTTCCCCTTTTTGTCTTTGCTTCTTGATAAAAGGAGAAGTATACTTGCCTACATATGCTATTCTACATGCTTTTAAACTATTTAAAATCACAACTCATAGTTTTATATGTGAATGATATAATGTTAAATTACTATTAAACAAATGACTGACTAAGTATTTCAGGCTTTAGTTCAGCCATATTCCATATAAATCAGGTATCATACAAAAATAAAAACAGCTTCAAATACAGTCATGACAATAAAAGAATATGACTTTAAGGACTTAACAACATTACTTCAGTTATAGCACACCAACATCTCTGATACATTAGCACTAAGGGAACACTGAATGACCTGCTGGTTTTTGTCCATAAAACTACTCATCTAAGATTACCACAAAGTAAAAGATCTCTCAGCAAGATTATGCAACATTTTAGTCACTATTGCCCCGATCAAGTCAGTGAGCTGAGATTTTCTATTCTAAACATGAACTACTGTTACAGCAACATGGACTACTGGTGTCCCACACAACTCAATGTCCACTGTGTGAAGCAGCCAAACACAGGCCTGCTCCTCTCGTTAACTGAGATAAACTGCTGGCATGTTTGTTTTACATCTATACTGTCCAGTCTCTCCTGGTGGACACACAGCAGCATTGTTTAATCTCATTTGAGTCATTGTTGACCGTAGCCATGTTTTTAGTCTTCTGAGAGCACTGAAGCTTCTTTCAGCCTCAGTACCTGCGTTCTATCCTCAGATTAAAATTATTATTAAGTGTCTGATGTGCCTCATGTTTGGCCCTGGCTCTTCCCCTCTGACTGCACTAGGACATATTGCCACCTGATAAAATAACACACTGATTCGTGCCATATAAAACGTGAGACGTGTCAATTCAGATTCTTTGTCAAATACACTAATGAATCAATTTACATCAGCAGCCAAGCAATTGTCATGATAATAAATACTATTTAATCTACAGCACCAAATCATCAGTCAGTCACCTGTGAGCTCACCTCTCCACCTCTGTCTGAGCTACAACATGGCAGAGCTGCCTCTGTCACCTGATCAATAACAGTGAGACATTCCACATACATGCAGTCACACATGTGCTTCAAATACAGTCATGAACCAACAAGTCATCATCAAATTTCACCTGTGATCTTGTGTCACCATTGCTCTCTGAGCTTTGTGTTGGTTCTGCTGTCACCTGACAAATAGGACATACATGACAATAAGAATAAAATGTGGAGCTGCTTCAGTGTTTCTGTCACTTTGTGCAGATCTTGACTGATCAGTAATGTTTGTAGGCTGAGTGCATTTTTAAAACAATGTGTGCAAACTGCACTACAAGGTGGATATTTGCAAAAGCATGACTTCCTCATGACATTTTGTCTCAAAAATTAACCCTATGAATACGTCAGTGCCATTAGGATGTAATTATTGTGTCACCAACATTTTAACGTTAGACATATAATTCTAACAGCCTCTGTAAACTAATACTGTTCGAGGCTGCCGTTTTCTCTGACAGTTTCAATCAAAATTAGAAATGCTGCTCTGAGACTGAGAGAACTAATAGTGCTGCCTGTTGTGCAGTTAGTTTCCAAAACACGTTATTCATGGTTACATACAATTTTAGACTGATGTGGGCCAAAGCCTAGCACAGCCTGTAACGTTATTATGACGGACACATTTTATGAGTTAATTTGGCTTTAAGTGACTTGCAGGTTTCTTTGAAAAATACTTTCTTATATCCAGGTTCTTCCTTTTTGCTGCCATCCTCCTTTCCTCCTGGCAGCGCAGGCTTGCAGCTGCTAAAACTAAACAGAGCTCCCTGAAAGGCTCAGCCAATCACATTGGCCATATTTGTCACATGAGGTAGGACTCCAGTAGAGAACGTAATTTAACCCTTTCTGCACCGCTGGGTGAATGAGACGCTGACAGATCTTTTTTTTTTCTTTTCTTTCTATCGGGTTTGATTTTCTTTACTCGAATAGATCAAATTATTGGTGGGGACATGTCCCTTCCGTCCATTCCAAATCTACGCCCTTGCTCCTTAGACTATCTGGGATAATAAATTTCATATTGCATGCATATATGTCTACCAATTAAATCTGGCCTGAGGTCTGCCATGTTTTAAATTCAGTTATTTCTCTCAGAAATTTGAGATCAAAATTACGACTGTGTTACCTTTATACGGTCACTAGTTAGTGCAAAAAGCTCAATGGGACATAGAAACCTTTAAATTAAATTCCATCACCTGATATATATTCTCAAATAATATCAAAGCTTTGAAAGCTGTTTACGGTCAGAATTTTTTGAAAACTGTAAATAAATTCAAACAATTGAGCTTCTCTCTCTGTGTTAAATATAATTCCCCAAAGCAATGATAACTTCATTGTATCCACAGAACGGAGTTCCAAGCTCGAGTGAATAAATAACTACTTGATATCTTCAGTGGCACAGGAGACGAGTGGACATCATATTTCTTGCAATGATGCAATAAATGACTTTGCCTCTAGAAAAACTAGAAAACAGGTTCAAAGAAGAGGGAGGAGAAAAGTAGAGTTATGTTTGATTCCTAAACCGTGTTTTGGGAAGCTCAGGTAGATATTATTGGCTCATCATTCAAACCCTTTTTACTGCAGACAGGCACAGTGCAATACTCATTACACTAGAATTTAAAATCTGACATTTTACTTGATGCCAGAGGAGAGTCCTGAGGGTCGTTTTACATTTAAAAAATGCAAATTTAAAAATATGTTCAGTTTGAATATAGATACAGTCACCTATATAACAAATTCAAATCAGCTGCAACAAAAGGCTAATACACACATTAATGAATCAGTAATTAAGGCCAGTGACATCATGTAAATGATCCTGATTTCATTTTAGGTACTTTAGGTGAAGTCTGATGCTCAAAGCTTTGCAGATTAATTACAAAGTAAGTTGATTGAGGAGGATCGTGACTTTATTTGTTTAGCCAGTTTCAAAGGTCAATTTATTAAATTCTTTTAATTCTTCGAGTTTAATTCTGGTTTATTTTTAAGGACAATAAATGTTTGCTATATATGTTTTACTTTATAGAAGATAATGAAATCTGAAAATAAATTTATGACAGTTTGAGTCATGGATAAAAACATGGCTGATGACATCGTCAGTTCATCTTTAAGTGATACAATTTACATTTTTAATATAAAAAATTTTAAATATCCAAAGTGTTTCATGTAAAATGGATCAATTAAAGGAGAGTCACTGAGGAGCAAAGGCACCACATAGCAGAACAATTTTCCACAAAGAAAAGACATCTCCACCTTTTTAATGTAAACATGTTATGTTCAGGTAGATCGTGTACGTTTGATCTAAAAATGTGTTTTTTTCCCAACACATTTACTTCTTTGAAAGGTCTTCAACGAGAAATTTCTCATTTGCCAAAAGGCTTTCATAGAAGATGTCTTTGCAGGCTGCACTGGCTTTCAGGGGACCACTGTAGAGCTCCCTCATCTTGTCCTGAGAGGTAGGCAGAGCTCTAATTTTGTCATATTGTTCTTGGTCGATAACTCCCTTGTCTTGGAGCTCATCCAAAATGGGTGCGATGTTGCTCACTCTCTGGATCAGCTGGACTCTGTGTTTGTCCACAAAATGCTTTCCTGGAGAAAAAAGGAAAGAAATGACAATAAAAGTTTACGGTTGTTTATCATGTGAAAATTTTATTCACTTTATTCTCAGCTTTCATAACAATGCTTTAAAAAAATCACACTTATTTCATAATTAAAATTAATTAAATGTTAAAAATAGAACATAAATGATGTCTGTAGGAGCCATATGAGTTGTTCCTTTTTGACTAAGTGGGTTGGTTTAAATGGACTCACTGTATTGGTGCACAGGCGTGTGGGGCGTGTTTCATGGGTGTGGTAGATGATAAATGTGGTTGCACTCACCTGTTTACAGCACCTGATGTTGATGAGCAGAAAGGTAAGGTGAGCATGAGGCAAAACTTTCTGTTGACCGCAGCTTGAATGATTTTGATGTATTTTAACTGGAACTTGATGGTTTATGTATATTTATGCACTAATTGATGCCATAGGCCAAGTTGTAGTTTGGTATAGTAGTTAGTGCAGTTCTTTGTGAGTAGCAGTTATTTGTTTGTGCAGTCTGTGCATTTGTTTAATAGTTAATCCCACGTGCTGATTTGTATATTGGACAGCTGCATGTGGAATAAAAGAAGCAAATGGTACAGAAGTGTATTTTATGCTTTTATTGTTGCGCGTCATCTGTATCCTCATGTTTAGCCTGCCGCGGCCATAGTTGGAAGAGCCACAACAAATTGTCAACAGAAAAGTTTATAGGTTTTATTGGATTGTTTATATATAGATGAGTTTTATTGGTGAGAGTCTTATGGTTTGCTGTTGCCTTTGTCCACGCAGCTTTTAGATTAAGCCTTTGGCTACACAATACAGATTTCTTTCAGGAGTCTTATTCCCCTGTTAGGTTTCAGCAGTACAGCTGCACAAGGCGTTGTACTGATTTGCTTTCTAGTTATTGTGCATCAGGCGGCTGAAGCCATTGGCTTGGGAGTACCGCCGCAGTTTGTGTTTAAGACAGTTTGTCTTCCTCACAGCTGACGGTATGGAGGTACATAAATACCCACCGCTAGTATGTACAGAAGACTAGGTTGAGTTAGTTAGGTTTAATAGGCAGATAGAGGGGGATATTGCTCCTGTTAATTGTGTGTGTCCAAGGTTGATTGAAGGGAATGTCATCAAGTTGATGTGTTGGGATGAGGCTGTGTGGCATAGGTGCAGTTCAGCGTTTGGATTTTGTAATGTTTTGAAGAAAAATGGAGACACACCAATTAATACAATGTGGTGATGTGGATGGAAAGAAAAGACAGCCGAAATCGACTGCTAAGGCTTTGGAGAATCAGATTGAAAGGCTGCAAACAGAACGTCACACTAAGATTAATAAAATTAAAAAGGTCGTAAAAATTATTAAAGAGTTAAAGCAATCTGAGGATAATGTTTCCACTGTTCAGGCTCAGTTAGAGAATTTGTCTGTGTTGCTTAATGAGGCAACTCGTCTGCATGAAACCTTGCTTCCTTTGCTTCCTCAAGAAGAGCAAGAGAAACAAACTGCTTGGTTTATAAGTGTGAAAGCACATAATACTGAGTTTGTGGAAGAGATAAAGAAATGGCTTCGTGATGCAAAGGGAAACCCTCAGAGCAAAAATCAGGTGTCTGAGCTTGATTTGCCACATTTAAATCCCCTGGTGTTGAGTCTTCTGATGTATTACCTGCTGGAAATGGTTCTGGTGCTTCTAGGCACACCGGGAATGTTGGTAAAGGTGCTGCGATAGATGATGTTAATCCAAGTGATAGCGTCTCTAATGTTGCAAGCAGAAGTTGTAGGAAAAGTAAATCATCACTCAGTGGCTCAATGGTTTCATCTGCCTTGTCAGCACGCATAATGGCAGAAGCTGACATGGCTGCCCTTCTTGTTCGACAGAGGTTGTTGAAAGAAAAGCATGCTTTGGAAGAACAAGAAACACAGCTTAAGAAAAGAAAGGAGCTGCTTGACTTAGAAACTGAAATAGCAGCTTCAGCAGCAGAGGTGAATGTTTTAAAAGTTTCTGAAATGTCCCGAGTCTCAAGTGCGGTTAATGGTAAATCTGATGGAATGAATTCGTATTTGGAACGAGAGCAGGGGCGTTTGGGCGTTTTAAATCCTAACGCTCCTACGTTCAAACCTGTTACCAGAGCCCCAGGCCCACCAGAGGTGTACGAAGACCCCAAACCTCCCTCCACCCGCTCATGTGTAGTGTTGCTGTGTCCTGTTCTAAAGTGCTTTTAAAACATGGCAGGGCATGGCTTCCTGCCAGAGAGCAGCGAGTGTCAGCACGGCCCCTCTTGAGAACCCTCAATGTTTACATGCATTTAAAATTCAGAGGTGGCGCCAGAGGTGAGGCTGGACGCTGTATAGTGTGTCCACCCCCACAGCCCTATATGTATGTGTGAGTAATGTGGATGTCTAAGTTGTGGAATAACATTTTATGGCCCGCAAGATCATTTTATATAGATTTATTATTATTGTTATGCATGCCCCGGCGATATGGGGTCCTCAGGGACTAGTAAAGCGCTATACAAATACAGGCCATTTACCAATTCAGCAGACGTTTGTCACCAGAGCAAAGCCACAAACTGAAGCTGTTGTGAAAGCAAGTTCTATTGTAGCAGAGGAGCCAAATCAGCCCGGCCATTTACCGAGGGAGAGTTTCTGAAGAGCTGCATGATGAAGCTGTGCAACGTCTTGTGTCCAGACAAAACGCAGATCTTGGCAAATGTGAGCCTGAGCAGAAATACGATTGCTGATCGGGATGGTGAGATGCCCACTGATTTAAGAACACAGTTGTGTGAAAGAAGCAAAAACTTCATTGCATACTCTCTTGCTGTGGATGAAAGTACAGACATGATGGACATTGCACAGCTGACCATCTTCATCCGTGGAGTGTAAATATTGAACATTAAATCAATGCACGGGACAACGACAGGAAAAGACATTTTTGAAAAGGTATTTCAAAGTGTAACCGACATGAAACTGCCCTGGGACTACAGATGGAGCGCTGGTGTTGTGCAGGATGTAAGATCTAGTAAAGATGCAGGAGAACTGTACCGGTGAGTTAACAGCATATCACTGCATCACACACCAGGAAAGGCTGTGTGGTAAAGTCCTAAAAATGGAGCATGTAATGATCACCGTAACACAGACCGTAAATTTGATCTGAGCTAAAGGTTTAAATCAGCGTCAATTTCAGTCTTTTATGTGGGAAATAGATTCAGAGTTTGCCGACATTCCTCATCATACAGAGGTCCGCTGGCTGAGTTGGGATAAAAGTTCTCAGTTTTTGAGCTCCGCAAGGAAACCTGTCAGTTCATGGCATGTATGATGCGGTGGAGGCATTTCAAGTGAAGCTGTCACAAATGCACCAGTGCAACCTGCCTCACTTTCCCTGTTGCCAAGTAATGTTGAACAAAGCTGGCGCACTTTGCTCGTCTACATGCGGCTCCAACCTTGTTTGCTTTCATTTATTTTTTCTGGGTTTTTTGGCAGCATGTTCATATTTCTAATTTGCATAATTTTGACAGGATATATTTTTATGGAGAGCAAAATATAAAATAAATAAAATAAAAAGTTAAAGTTTATTTTTTTAAGTGCATTTATTCTGGAATAATATTCCTGTCTGTTTTTATTCATATTTATGTTTAAAAACATGTTTAGGCATGTTTTTGGACGTAGTGGATTGTGAGCAAACTGTATTAAAACAGATAACTTCGTAGCCTGTATGATGTCACCAGGTCCAAATTATAACCAGTGTTATAAATCTGCCCACTATGATATTAAAGCATAAAACAAAGAGTCTGATATTTCTTATGTTTACATCAGAAACATAATGTCAGCATTTCCTTTTTGTAAATACTTTCACTGTAGAACACAAAATGGATTTCAGCAAACGTCCTTTCAGCAGAGGTCATTAAGAAGGAGTCTCTCGTGTGTCTGAAGGATTTGGTAGAAGACATCTTTGGAGGCACTGCCAGCTTTCAGGGGACCGCTGTAGAGTTCCCTCATCTTTTCCTGAGAGGTCTGCAGAGCTCTGATTCTGTCATAACTTTCCTGCTGGATAACTTTTTCCTTTCAGGAGCTCATCCAGAATCGGCTCGATGTTGCTCACTCTCTGGATCAGCTCCACTCTGTGTTTATCCACAAAGTGGTTTTCTGAGGAAAGATTGCAGAGATTCATCACATATGTTGATAATCAAAGACTAAATCCATGCATAGCTTACATCCTCTGTTACTTATTTCCAAACAGAACTCACTGATATGTGTTAAACATTAAAGACTGATTCATTGTTGTGCTTCTTTTTACTTTGTACATAATCAAATCTAACTCGGTATCTTTCTGCACTAATGTTGTCATACCAAAGGGAACCCACCACAGCCAAACACAAAGTGCAGTTCCTTTTATTAATCTGTATTTATATTTATATTAAAAAGCCACATATCATCACCACACACACCACACTGTGATCAGCACACCACCCCCCACACAGCGCCACACTCCCGGCCTGACCACACAGTAGCCAGTGATTCTCGAGACACAACGGAGACTGTCTGAGCTGAACCAACTTCATTAAGGAATCAACTTGACACGATCGAATACACAAATCATCTGAAACATCTAACCTTGTACTTTACCACTTCTTTGGGATTCATCTGAAAGTGAAACAGATGAACCAGTAAAAATACAGAAACACAGTATTTACTGGGCTGATCTACCAGTAGGCGTTAGCTTTAATAATAACTGTCGTCTAGCTGAATACAGCCACAGATGATGTCGTCTTCACTGCCCTGCACTCTCTCTTCATACATGTGAAATATAACAAACTCTCTCTCAGCAGGCTGTTTGTGAAGCTGACTGGCAGACTCGTCACTCTGGTCTTCAGGAACACATCGTGCAACTGGATACTGGACTTCCTGTCAAACAGGCTGCTGTTCAGATTGTTAATCTTCATGAAGTTAGAAGACAACACAACCATCATCACTCTGTTGGAGGAAATCAGCTGTTCAGGAAAAAGCCTGGGACTCACAAACCCCTCCAGCATGATAAGGAAGTGATTCACAGAGGGCTGAATACATGAATATTATATTTATCTCTGTAAAGAAAGAAATATAAGCAGGATTGAGTTTAGTGACTCGCTGCCACCGAGAGCTGAGAGACTGAGAGCTCCTCCTTTAGAATGAAAACTTGAAGACAGAACAAAGTATGTAAGCTAACGAAAAGTAAAATTGTGGCGGGAGAAAAGGTGTGATTGACTGTTCACTAGGATTCATCAGCGTTCTATGTGTCACATTATATAAAACCACAGAACAGGTAATATTGATGAACCTACCAGCCGACTGAGAGCTGACAGCAGCTGCTCCCACTGAGGATCCTGCAGCTGTTAATAAATAACAAGGAAAGTTTTTAATTTCTTAACAAATGTTCAAACTTTTTAACTTTCATTATGCTAGCAAACTGAAACATTTTTCAGTCTTTCAATCAATTTATTGGGAAAACCAGGCTCCCAGTATACAAATTGGTGTCCATCACCACGGATGGTTTGCCACTCAAATGAAGAAGAAGGTGTATTTTGTCCCGTGGGAAATCCTCTCTGCATTAACCATTCACTCAGTGAAGCAGTGGCAGCCTGGGCGGGGGCAGTGTGAGGGAGGTACTGCCAGGGTACTCAGGTAGTGTCAGGGATCGACCCCGACCTCCGATCATGGGCACCTCTACCTACTGACTATCCTGCCAAATGGATTCACTGCAGGTGCAGGGAGGACAATGTTATTCCGGATTTCCTCAATTACCGCTGCATAATACACCAACAAGCGTTATGCGCAAAATTGCTCCACATGAAAGAGATAATGGATGCAGTCGATACATTCACATGCTACCCTTTTTGGGAAGATGCAGAGGTTGATCCACTCGCATCAAAATTTGAAACACTGTGTAGCTGTTGGCATGATGATATTGTTTATATAATTTAGATCATTTCTTTATCTTGTCAAGGTCCATGTCATCGTTGTAAATTGTTTAAGCTGTATATTATTTATGTTATTTTATGTAGTTCAAGTTATGGTGCTTTTATTTTTAAGGTCAAGCCTGCTTACAAGTCTTGTCTCCTTTTTGGAAGCCTAAGAAAACACCTGCAAGCAGGTAGCAAGAATGAGCCGTAATGCTCTTTATTGAAAGTTAAGTGGAATGGACTTTAACTAGACACTTATAAGGAACCCTCAGAAGAATGGGGAGTAATTCCCTTTTTGCAGCATGCAGCCAACAAGGTATTTATTGATTTTATCTTTGTTTTCTTGTACAGTGTCATTTTAGGTGCTGTGTCTTACGTTGAGTGTTTATTTTGTTAATGCTGTGCAGTTTTCACAGTGGCTTAGGAGAGAAGTCTTCGAATGAACCAATGAAGAAAAACAGGTGAATTATACACTGTTTCACCGGAATTTTTCTGAAATAGAGGATGAGATTTTGACACTAAGCTGAGTTTAAGTCCAGGGCTAACGGACAGTTCTGGAACTTGCAGAGGAAAAGTACCCCAACATAAGGAAATGTGTTACCTCCTTGACTGCAGCTGCACTTATTCATGTGAGTCAGCCTTTTCCCAGAAGATTATTAAGTCCAAATACCGTTCCACCATGACTGATGATTATTTGAAAGTGTACTTGAGGCTGACTATCAGCAGCTACCGTCCAGACTGTGCATCCCTGGTTGATTCCATTCAGTGCAAGTCATCAGAGTAAGGTAATATCAAAAAATATACAGTTGTGTTGTGTAATATGGGTTCATACAGTTATGCAACATGCCTGAATGAATACTCCATATGTTTATAAATAAATATATGTTTTGCATTTTCATAGTAGGTCAATCATTTTGACTTGGTCATTTCATAAGTCGCTCGCATGCTGAAAAAGTGTGTGCACCCCTAATTTAAATTCTCAGATTTCTAAATGAAGTCCTCTCCTCCTCAGGCACAAGTTGCAGCAGTATGAAATACGACCAACAATTAACAGTGGAGTCAATTGGGCTATGGCATGGATGAGCAACGTCTCTGGATTAACAACAAATTTTGGTAAATTTTGGTAAACTTGTGAAATTTAAACCAAAGAAAACTCACTACTGTAAAATGTTAAATGCAGTTATTATACAAATAATCTGAAATATCTTACCTTGTGCTTGATCAGTGCTTTGGTATTCGGCTGAAAATAATCAAGGAACATAAAACGTATAAATATAAAATTTTAAAGAAACTTTACTCCAATCCATCGGCCATATTTAAGTATTTTGTTATGATCTTTAATTTGTGTTGTTTCTCATTTTAATCTTCAATATTTTATGTTGTAATTTAATATATTACGCTCTATAAATTCATCCCGCTTTGTTCTATTGTGTTGTTGGTAGGTGTAATAAAACGGTGTGCATTGGGCCACCGTGTGGTGATGAAAGGTTGGACAAGTAAGCAACACTTTTCTGACCGTCACTGTTTATAGCTGTTTTAGGTATAATATCAGGAAAATGTCAACGGGGCTCCAACCAGAGAAATCTGCTCTGTAGTTTTGGGTTTTGCGTGGAATAAATAACATGTTTCCTGTTTTACATTCGCCTTGTTTCTTCCTACAGAATAAGACACAAACTATCTTAGAAAAGGACGAGTCAGAAAATGTACGTCCTGCAGAAGCAGCAAAGAAGGACCGAAGATTGCTGCTACATATAGCTTACTGACAATGTTGAGCTAACATGTAATTGTACTCATTTAATACAATAAAGTGATGATAAATTTGAAAATGTAAAGTTAACCTTTTCGAACTGTACAGGTCCATACTGGCTGAAGATCTTTTTTTGATGTGAGTTTAAGGCGGAAGTTTCCATCTGGACTTTCAGTGTAAACTTCAAAGAAATTTGGCTTTCCACTTGGATATCTGAGCTTTAAATCCTGTTAAAGAAAGAAAGAGCAACGGGAAAGAGAGAGGTATGGTATGGATATTTGTAAGTTACTATTTCTGCCTTTACTACTCCACAGTGATATTTCAAAAGCTGCAGCTTCAGCAGGTTCTCAAAGCTTTCCACCTTCTCTCGTCCACAAATGGACTGCTGGTCTGCACCGGCCTATGGTTCATGCATCTGATCCAGTTCCAGCATCATCCTGTATCCATGTTTTCTCTCATCATTCATGTTTTTTCTTTTCCTGGTTCAAAGTCACTCAAATGTTAAAGTCCTGGTAAGTCAGCATATAGCTGGTGGTGTATCAAAGCCTTTTGTATCTTTTGTCATGTTTCTGCTCCTGCTAACAAGAGTTTCACTCTCTGAGCTTCATCAGACTTCATCTCTTCTGTCTGCTCTCCATTCACCATCCAGGACTCCAGCCTCTGATGTAGGCTCGGTCTCTATTGTGCTTGTGCCTTCTTTTTGCTACGATCACTTAGTATATCCTATTTATTATAATATATTACACTCATTTTCTGTGCTTTGGTCATGCTTGAGCTAACAATACTGTTTTCATTCTATAGAGTCAAACTTCCCTGCCACAGTAAGATTGCTCTTACTGTTTTGGGGGGTCCTGTCCTAAATCCTAACACTGCAATCAAGGTTCATCAGCGTTAAATCACCAAATAGATTCGTTCATTTTTCTATCTCAGTAAATCATGTTCACTTCTTCCAGATCAGCTCTTCTTATTGAATATTTACTGAATCCTTTCTTTGCTCAGTAAAATGTATGAAGGCTGCCGACGACAGCTGGACTATTTATTCTCAGCCTATTATGCAAATATGTATTTGGAAAGAAATGAAAGCATTTCAAACCATACTTCAGGACAGATTTCTGCACCATCCACATCTGCTGTTAGTGTGAAACGATCAAGAATTTTCAAGGACTTCTCTGGATCTGGCTTCAGGATAGCTCTGTATCCATGGGGCACTTCCCTCTGCTTTATTACCTGTGAAGAATAAAGTGCAAAGATACTAAAAAGCCATGTTTTATATATTAATTTATTCATTCTCCTGAATTCTGCCTATTATACTGTGAAACATGTAATAACCTGCTGTAGCCCAGGATCACGTGGGATCAGATAAACATGCAGTGTGAGGAAAGCTGTGTTGGTCTGATAGATCAACACGTTGCAGCCGATTTTCACAGGAATGCCGAGTTTCATCAGGACCGCTCTCGGAGAGAAAATCGGTTCAGTTAACTTGACATGTGTTGGTGTGACCTCAGACACTTTTTCCACAACATCTCCACAGTCATCTATGTGAAGGACTGCAAACGTGTCCAATATGTCAGGGATGTCATCTGCAGGAGAACACAACAACACAAACATGGTGAGAAGAACAGTTTATAACAGTTTGTGCGCTCACTGTCAGAAATGTCAAACATCTGAAAGTCTTCCTTCATGTCCTCTTACCGATGCAGATCCAGTGTGGCAGGTGAACTTCATTTAACTTCCCAGCAGTGACTGTGACGTCCATCAGAGGACCTGCAGGCATGTATTGTCTGCTCTCCATCCTCTCCATGTGTCCCTCCCAAGATCTAAACTGGTACTGAAAGCTGGTCTTTCCCTTACAGACCCAGCGCAAGCCCGAGACTCTGCATTCAAAGTGTCCTGCTGCAGACTGAAGGCTGAAACAGGAATTAAATACACACTCATGAAGGAACAACAGAGTGAATGGAAACACAGAGAGTAGTCGTGTGAATCGGATGCAAAATAAAGAATTTCCTCTGGGAATAAATCCAAAGCTGAACTGTTTCCTGTAGTTCCAGTTTGCTGTGCTGCAGCATTCAGGAAGTTGATTTACCTGTAAGTTGGAGCCTCGTCTGCATCTGTACTGTTCACCTCAGGTTCAAGTTTAGTCCAATCACTGCAGCCCTGCTGCAGAGGACAGTCTCTTTAGTCAATAAGTACACATGTTTATAAAGAAAGAAACTTTAGCAATAAATGGATGAATGGAAGGGATTACCGTCAGGCTCTGACAACCTTCAAGCTCTGAACTTCTTTCAGTTTTTCGTCCTTGTTGAGACACAAAGAATTCAAATGAATGATGTTATGCTGACATATAAAATCATCCTCTAACTGTCCACATGTTTGCTGTTTGATCACTTTATGCTGTGCAGTGCTGCTTCAACATCAGAACAACATGTTCAGCAGGACGTGCAGCTGAGTGACGTCTAAGATGATCAAAAGCTGATGAATCCAAATATTCTCACCAGTGATGTCAGAACAAGACAGAGACAGAGAGAAAGGTTGGATTCAGCTCTGATCATTTATGCAAAGTTACTTTTGGACGTCTGTTGTGTTTCCTGTTTCTTTTAATGTTTGTTGATTAGAAGTTGTTTAAACAAGTTTATTGTAAATTATGAAAATCTGTTTATTAAACTTTGTTTGGTCTCACCTGAGCTGCTCGCTGACAGCCTCAGCATCAGATCAGGTCTGTTCATGTCTGTTGAAACCTCCATGGTCGCCTCCACAGACTGATGACCAAGTTTATCCACCATCAGATTCACAAGGTCTTCTGTCCTGTTTGTATACCAGTACCTCACCATTTGTGGCAGGCTCATCTTAAAGCACGTGAACGGCAGCAACTGCTTGAATTTCTTTAGATCCTTTTGACTGAATTCATTCAGTGTTTCCAAGAGAATCTGTCTGACAGCTTCCTGTTCTTTTACCTGTAAAACCAAAACAATGTATTAAGTTACTGTATAATATCTCTGTTGGACAATTTAAAGATTTATTTTTATTTAATTTCCAGAGAAACTGAAATAGAAATATCAAATATTAATTAAAAAAGATGTCTTCATTAATATTTATATGTTTTAGAATAATCACTGAAGAGACAGCTGGCGGTTTTGATATTTACTTCACTCTCTTTATGAACTGCAAAACTTCAAGTTTCATAAGAAAACATTATTTCATTTCTATCAATACTAAAAACTATTTTTTGTAAAAGCTGAGTTAAAGTCACACTCACTCTCTTCCACAGTGCAGCTCCATGTTCATCCACAGAGTGTTTCTCTGAGGAGGAAAGACATTTACCATCAACTCTGAGGATTCAAACATCATCACACATCCAAGTAGAATCAGCCTTCAGACGACACAGATGATTTAAAAGAGAAAATCATGTGAAACTAAATAAAATGACATAAGAACCCAACAAAGAAACCCTCCATCCTGTCCAACCAAAGTAACTGGGGGTTCCCAGCTGTGATAATGAGAGAGGGTACACCTGTCCACCTCAGGTTTTAAACAGACAGACAACCTTTCACACCCACATTTAATTTAGAACCAGCAATAAAGCCAACAAGCATGTGTTTGGACTGGAAACCAGAGCACTCTGAGGAAAAGCATGCAGGCACAGGGAGAACATGCAAACTCCACACAGAAAGGTTCCAGCCAACCAGGAGGCTCAAACACACAACCTTCATGCTGTGAGGACACAGTGCTAACCACTGCACCACCATGACACCAGCAACACAAAAACCTGTTGATGACACAGAGTTTACACTCATGCATGTTGGTCTTACCTCTGGATGCTGAGCTGCTCTCTGGTAACTTCTGCACCAGATCAGTTCTGTTCATGTGCATGAAAACTTCTCTGGTCACCTCCACAGACTGATGACCAAGTTCATCCACCATCAGATTCACTACATCTGCTCTGGTTGATGATGGACTCTGTGATTTGTATGACAGACTCATCCAAATAAAAATTGACTCCAGGAATCTCTTGAACTCCTCGAGCTCAAATCATTCGTTGCTTCCAAAAGCAGTTGTTTCACAGCTGCCACCATTGCCACCTGGAAAAGTCATTCAATTTGCAGGACATTTATTTATTTATCCATTTTATCCAAATAAGCTCTTTTAGAAAGTTCAGTATGATTTCTCATAATCACAAAAAAGCAGAAATCGTGAGAAAAATGACTCAACATGAGAACTGATGATACTTTAGTCCTCTGACTTTCAGCCTGCTGTCTTGTACTGAATCAGAGATGTGACATGACTCACTTTGTGGATCAGTGCAGAGCGTCGTTCATCCACAGAGTGTTTCTCTGAGGAGAAAAGTGCTCAAAGTCACTCACAAGAGACTTACTTACCAACTGACAGTTGTATAATCTTCAACATTACATTTAAAGCTCAACCATGATAGACACTGTTTGTGTTATTCAGTCTCTCAGACTGAAGGAGTCACTTTTTGTCATTTTTTTGTTCCTTGAACACTCATAAATTCTGATTTGGACAACAATCTGTCTTTTCTCTACAATATTTTTATGAAAGACAAAAACTTTACTTATGAGACATCTTAACCACCAGAGTTCATTTAACTTATTTCCTCTTTGTTGTCTTACTTTTGGGTTCTGGGCTGCAGTCTGACGGCCTCTGAGCCAGATCAGTCCCCTTCATCTCGTTTAAACCCTCCATGGTCTCCTCCACTGACCGCTCACCGTAAGTCAGGACCATGAAAAACACCGTGTCCTGCAGGTCTGTCCTCATGTAGATGATTCTTTGGATGTCTGACTAATGTTTGTAATGAATTTTACGCAGGACTTCCTTGAAAACCTCAAGTTCCCAGTAACTCAGACCAGCCAGGGTTTCCAAAATCAGCTCAATAACAGACGCCAACGTTTCTACCTGAGAAAAAAAAGGTAAATGCGACTTTTCTCCAGGTTTTTTTTCTATCTCATCAACGTCTCATAAATGTTTAGATTACACCAGACACAGTTACAAGCAAATGATGTAAGTGATAATTACACACCTGATTAACATTTATTCCAACCTGATGAATTTAATCTTTCTGTTTATCTTTTCTACATGTAGGAGTTTTTTAAACTGAACATGTTCAGTGAACGCTGCATCATTTAAATACAGTCATAGGTGATATTACTCACTTTCTGGCTCAGCGCAGCCCAGTATTCATCCACAAAGTTTCTCTGGGAGAAATATTACAATATCATGGTTACCATGAGAAAAGAAAGTGTAGCAGCTCCACAGCAGACTCGTCCACAGTTTAATGCTTTTCAGCACAATCTTTATTCATACTTACACTCGGTTGCTGTTACAAACACACACAGCTGCAGCTTTTCAGCCGCCACAACAACAACTCTCAGGATCAGGTACAGATTTTAAAGCTGATGCTGGCAAAGTTAGAAAGGTGCCGGCTGTGAACAACACCTCATCTATCTATTACTTCATTTGCTCTCTTTAGGCTCCACAATGATTGTCTGTCTAGTGTCTGTCGTCCACCTTAGATCCATTCATAACTTATTTAACGTCAGGGTTAATGATCAGAAAACAATTAAGTGTGTAAGGAAAGAATTTAGTTGTTTGTAATCTTAATATTAATGTCTGTGTTTTATTTAACAATATCTATTATTAAACACTTCAGTGAAGAAAATCCTCCTGCCTTCTTTCAGGAAGACAAAAAAACTTCCATTGTTCAGTTTTTGTGACTTGGTTCAAAGATTTTGAATCAACTCTTGATAATTTTTTTTATTATGGATAATTATTCTCTTACCTTTGAGTCCTGAGCTGCTCTCTGACAGCCTCTGCACCAGATCAGTTCTCTGCATGTCCCTGAAAACATCAATGGTTACCTCCACAGACTGTTGGCCACATGTTTGCACCATCGCGTTCACTATATGTTTTCTGTTTGTACTCGGTGGGAATTGTGGAAGGCCCCTCTGAAAACATGTGAACTGCAGGAACCACATGAACTCCTTGAGACCCTGATCACTCAAATCCTCCCGTGTTTCTAGAAGCAGATCTTTAACAGCTGCCATTGTTGCAACCTGGAAAATTCAAACATTCATGAAGAAAAATTAAATATTAATGTTTCTGTTGCTGTTTTAAATATTAAAACTAATTAAAGACATTTAAATCATGTTTTCTCTAAAAACTTAAAGATAAAAAGGCCAACATTTATAAAGAAAATATATCATTTCCACACTAAGACATTTTTTGGCATTTCTATGATAATGTGTGATTTTTCTGATGATCACCTAAAACACAGATACATTTAGTAACGAGGGCCTGAGCATTCACAGTGTGAAGACCTTGTTGTGTATTCACTATTATTATTATTGTCTGTGAAGGTTCTCAGTCATCCAGGTCATCGTAGCCCAGTGGTTCCCCCCCTTTGTTTTACAAAATAAATGCGGTTTATTTCACACCTCAAACATTTAGTAAACAATTAAGCAAATACAAATAATCTGCAATAAATTACAGGTAGTAATAAAATAAACTACTTTCTTTTACGCTACGTCCACACCTACACGGGTATTTTTGACAACGCAGCTGTTTCATCCACACGTAAACGGCGTTTTGAATAACTGAAAACGGAGATTCTTTAAAACTCCTTTTACGTGTGGACGAGGAATACAGAGTTGGTCACGCAACGTCAAAGGTATGTGCCTTTTTTCACGTCAGCTGTGGCCACGTTATTGTTTACATGAGATGAATTGCAGAATGGCAGATAGAGACACAATACTGTTAATCTGACTGTCTGCAGGTTTTACACAGTTACTGTCCCTCCATTTACAAAGGCAGAGGCGTCACATGTGATTATTTTACATGTAGTTGTTTTTCTTCCTGTGTAATAATATTCAACATTGCTGTCAATACATTTTTCAAAAAATGCCTCTCTGTGCAAAATAGGTTTAAAAACATAAACAGCTGTGGGATCCTGTTTGTCCGTGATTTGAACAGCCCAGCGCTGCTCCCATAGCTGGACTGGCCATCGGGCATACCGGGAATTTGCCCGGTGGGCCGCTGGCGATTTTTTGTTTTCATGGGCCGATGGATTTTTTTTTTTTTTTAGGAAGGGTATAGGGCTTTGGAGTTGACGTCACGCCGCAATGCATTTTGGGAGCGCGGCACCATTTTCGGGGTCTACGAATCAAATCAAACACACTGTGTTGGAACAACGATTACAAGATGCTTAAAAGCAGCTCAAACGAGAATGGACTGTATAGAGACCGATTGCGTCCAGAGGCGAAGCGGCGGTACTTGGAAATGTGGACCCGTATGAAATACGGCCGTGGAGTAGAAACCCTGAAGACCAACCGCTATTGACGTAGCCTGATATATTTCATACCTTATCTGTGGAGTCAGCGCGTACAAGTCGTCATTCAAACAAAGGTAAGTCAGCTCGAGTACTGCGAGTGAAATGCGTTTGATTTCCCTGCAAACATTCAGATTAGTGCAGCATAAATTCATTCATGAGGGGAAATTACAGTGAGAACATGTGGAGGCTGTTAGGTGGATAACATAGTGAGTTCAGTGCATTGATGTGACATTGTCCTGAAGGATTTAGTTATTCTCTATGGTTAAAGAAATTGCACTAATTTATTAATGTTTATTATAAATAATTCTAATTATACATCTTGCTTCCATATTTGTATCCTGTGTCACTAAAAATACATTTTATTGTAGTTTTATACTTTGATTAATGACCTGCAGAATCTCCTTATCATATTAAGTGATTCATAATTGTCACTTTATGCTTTCTCCATCTCTAAAGTGATGACATCCTTGCATTACATGCTTTAGGTTCATTTTCTGCAGGCAGGTTTCTGACAGAGAACAGACAGATTTAGACTATAACCTGCAGCGTTCTATAGATGGACACATAAAGAAATGCATAATTACATGTATGTGCTAACTTTCTAAACACTTTGTTACATTTATGATAAAGTAGATAAAACACATTTGTGTCGGCCTTGGCTCATAGTTCTTGTCTTTAAATGAACTTTGTCTGTGTGTGTTTCAGGTGCTGCTCTCTCAAAGACTGAATGAACCAGCATTGCAGCCATGGGTCACTGAGAGCATCACAGGGAAGGTTGAAGTCGCCCACTGCACCTGTATGGCCGGAGTCGCAGAGACCTGCACCCACGTCGCTGCTCTTCTGTCTAAAGTAGACGGAACAGTGTTGATCCGTGGCACAAGGACTGTTACAGATGAACCTGCATACTGGGTTTTGCCTGGTAATATGACCAAGATACAGCCAGAGGTTGGCCATAAGATAGACGACTTCTCTTCAGCTGCCCAAAAAAAGGCTCTTGATCAAAACATAAACAGACCATCTGTAGTGACAGGTAAAAGGAGCCGTCCTCAAAAAAGAAAAATCCCACCTGCTACTGTGGAGGAGTTGTCACTGCTATAATGCCATGTTTTATCTAGGGGTCTAGATTTATGCCTGTAGTGCACTGCTGTGTAAATAATTTGCATTTACTGAATATGTACTGACTGAGTCCCACTGTTCAAAAGTTGAATAAAGAAACAAAATAATTTTGCCTTTTTTTTTTTTATTAAAACCACTTTATAGAGCATCACATCAGTAACAGTGTAAAATCCATATCATTTACAGTTTACAAATGACAAAATGTTTACACCAAATCATGAGTGTTTACATGATATCACCCACTACTAACATTACTTTATTTACTGTATCTTTTGAAAAAATAACAGCACAAGACTTAAGAATATTTAACAGGAGCAGAATGGCGGATCGGGCCAAAATCCTTTCCACGCCCACCCCCGTGACATCACGCTCCAAAGCCCTATATATAACGAAAGGTGTTGGATTGGCCAATTGGTCATGATCGACTCTGGGCTGGACCAATTACAGCCGAGGAGGCCGGATGCACCCTCCCCCTTGTTTA